CGGGAAGAGATGTTGGACATGAAAGAGAAGCCCTCCTCGGTCGACCTTGTAACCAAAACATCATCCAGCGCCGTCGATACCGAGTTCGACACAACCGGTGCAGTCTCAGCTGCCTGACAAGTCCGGGGAAAGCTGGAGGATAGCGGTGAACTTCCTCCTTCCTGCTTCGGGGCACAGGTGAAAGAAAAATAAGATTATACTGGGATGTGTAAACATGTTTCTGAACCACTGTGGTAATTATTATCCATCCTAGATACAATTGTACTTAGTAGTGAAGCAGTGCTCTGGACAACTGCTGCGCTTTAAGTTCAAAGGTGTAACCAATCAAAATCATTCAACACACAAACAGCGATCGTTATGCCACAAACCTTTAGTCAAAGGAAACAGACTACGCGCCAACCAACACAACAGACAGATCACGACCCAAGTGCATTAGTCGCCAGCCCTTAAAGTAAACCGCGTCTTGTCAAATTCATCGTGCTTCACGTCTATATTTGATAACAGTAAAACAAGCTTCGAAGAAGAGGAAAACTCAGAAAACAATGAGGAGACGTACATGCACCTTAGGTTTTAACGATAATAGCAGGGATGGTTGAGCGGCAGCCGTAGCAGAGATGATAGAAGCAGTTTGATGATTACATCGTCTTTCGCCACCCTGAGACACGTCGTCCAATCCGACATCTTTGTGGAAAGGGTGTGGCGTGTAATGGTGTGAAGGATGTTGTTGCTGAGGTTGCTGATGCTTATAATGTTCATCGTGGGGTTCAAAGTCTTCCTCCGTTGGCCCGTGGTCCGACTAGACACAACGCATATGTTCTGTAGTTCTAACACTGAAACAACACTAGGACAGCAATGTTGTAGTGGCTGTTCTTGTGGTAAGCGATAAGAAAAACCAATATGTCGATTCGACTACGAAGAAACTCTATCCATACACTTTACACGGACTTTTATTCGGAGCATGTGAACTGTAAAGTTAATGATTTGCAAGACTTAATGGTCGTAAATGATCTGGTTTTAAACTATCGAAGATGAGATTTGAGGAAGATTATGAAAGCACCTTTCAGTATTTATAACTGAACATTTATAACGCATTCCTATTACTTACAAGGGAAAACTTAAACTCACCCCAAGGTTACTGAAGGGCACCGAAGGCTTGAAGCCGCCACCACCACCCCTACCGCCGCGGGTAGACTGGATGCCGTGCTGAAATGGCCGACGCATAAAACCGCGTCCGCGAGGTCCCGGAGGACCCGTGAACACCCCACCACCTTGTTCGCGGTGAAAATCAGTTCCTTCGCTACCACTACCACCACCGCTACCACCACCGCCATTCCCGCCTCGACCTCGACCACGTCCACCACTGGCGTAGAAAGTAGCCTGTAAAGGGTATAGACATATTGCGACTCAGAATTTACAGAGGACTGTGCTTCAATAAACAATTTCCGAGTTGATTATTGCCAAAGTTTGTAATTTAACTGACAGTCATTCATCTATACAAACAATAGCGCAAAGAAACGCTTGGACTCAGTTCTGCAGTTATTAAAGAATCCTAAACCAAAAAACAAATTGAACTGACATTTGCTCCACCTCAAAATAGCCAAAATCCCGGCTACGTTTGTAAAGTGCAACCAAATTTGTCTCTCGAGGTGTCCGATGTCCAAAACCAAGTGAATAATGATATCGAGAAGCGATGCACTAGGGACACTTATAACAAATGTAGGGATCACTACGATATCACCCATAAAGCGGAATCAAAGATTTAACCTTGTCTCATGCGCAATTTATTGCGCACCAGTCGCAAGTACACCGATTTTATTACACTGCAAGAAGAGGGGAAGGGTGGTGAAGAGGTTCCAGTGAGCGTTCGGAGGCACCTAGAATTTGTATATTTCACTCTAGAAAAGTCTAACCCCAACATTCAATGCTCTGTCAAGTTTAAAAAAGATTGCTAGCATAAAAGGAAGTTAAACAAATGTCAAGATTCGCAAGCATGGAGCCCTACTTGACCCAAATAACATGAGGGCCCGCTGTCATCATGATCCTGTAAAATAAAGAGCAACACACAAGGAGGTAACGAGTCAACATATTGATTGCAAACAAAAGAATTGAGCTACAAACGGTGACAATAAAGTAAAGAAGAATTCACTACGCAAAGGGCGTGATAATGCCTTTGTAAGGCACCAGATTTGAAATGCGTGCAGATAAGCGCTAAAGCGATTGGCAAATAGTGTAGTCCTCATCGGCATATAGTTCGCATTATATTGGCCGTCATTTTCAAGCGCACTCCACATGATGCAAATTGACCGCGCCGTCCACATGCCTCGCTTGTAGCAGCGCACAATCCAAAGAGAGCGAAGTAGCGATGGCAACAACATTAAGAGAAGAATGCTAAGTGGAAAATCTATACCCAAGACATGGTAAGTGCCTCAGATTTTTATCCTCCTAAAGTATCACTGTCTTGAACACCACTTCCACTCTCATTTCGACTGAAATCTATCGGATAAACAAAGTGATACAATGTGATACATTGGCAAACGCAATGCACGTGAGCAGATATTTAAAACCAATCAGTAGCATAATGTGACGCCTTGACCTTACTCGTAAGTAAGCTAAGGCCTTAAGCAAAAAGACCTCCGCTTAAGGCAAAGACAATCTGAAAACCAGGACGCAGCGGATATGGACCTTAAAAATTAGGCTTAAGCATCAAAAAAACTTTTCAACGCAACTAAACCTATTAGGTAATCAAAACAGTTTGCTATTTGGGATTACTTGATGATGAAGCCATTCAGAGCAATGCTTAAAACCGGAATGTGCACCAACGTCCAAACATAAATCCACCGTAGAAAAGGCGATGTATACGAGCAATGAAACGCAGAATATTAGGGAAATTCAAGGTATTAAAAGCAACCTAGGAGGCGGTAAAAATGACCCCAAACATTTTAAACTTTTGAAAAGATATGTAGCCTAGCCCTTAAAACTGATAGAAAACGAAGGGAAATGGAAAACTTACTGAAAAAACGAATGGATTAGTAAGAGAAATGCGACGGAAATGTGCTATGGTAAAACCAAAGTTACTCCAAAAAACGAACTGATCAATGTCAGTAAAAAAGGAGAGAGCAACAAAGAATGGAAATTAGTAAACCGATGCTCGCTAAATGACTAGAACTCGTTCTGAGAGAATATCACGACTTAATTACCATAGAAGGAGTTGTGATACTGCACAAATCGTAGAAGAAATCACCTTATGGGCTCCACGCTCGGAACCGCTGGTTGAGCGATGGCGCCACTTGCCGCAACCGAGGGCCCAGTCAAACTCGTGGCGAACAGTTCCGTTGCCGTTGCCGCCGCCACAGCCCTCCTCTCCACCTGAACTACCCGAATTATGGCGCTGAGAGGAGGCAGCATCTAGGGGTGACTGCGGCACACTGCCGGAGGAGCGGCGGGTCCTTCTCCACCCAGCGGAATGCTGCGTCGTATCATTACCATGGCACGACACAACTTCCACGCCTCTGAAATTTAAGCATCATTATTGACAATTTCAGATGTAATGAGACGATCCATCATCAAAATCTCACCCAGAATAAAACGAGTCGGTATTCTTCAATGGCTTGTTTTGCAATACAGAGGTGTCCACTAACGGCTTACTCTTGCGCAGGAGTGCCCTTTTATCAGGATTCAGGAATATAACAGACTTCGAAATCTAAAAGTATATTGCATTAATGGTAGATAACGCTGGGATGGAAATACTTGTCAATTCGCCTAATACAGCAGGTGAACAAAAACAGAGCACGCAAAGTATGGACGCTAACAGCATTTGGTTCGCGATATCAACTAGTGTTTTAAAATGGTTGATGCGAGATACAAAAATGCAAATAAAATACCTTATTTTTCTAAGTAAATGAAGAATGATCTTTTGAGATAAACACGCCATTTGTAACCATCAACATACGTGCAAGAAATGACTTAAAGCAAGAATGGAAACACGCAATGCACTAACACAAAACCTACTGGATACCGACTAGGTCCACCGCTAGAAATAAATGCATTCCGAATCTCAATGAGTTGTTCCTTTGTGTAAACATATCGGTGCACAATACCAGTCGGATCCATTTCACTGGTCAACCAATACTAAAATCGGCGAAGAAGAGAATTGATCAGAAAGGTAGAAAGACAACGAAGAGAGCTCTCGTATAACCCGCGTACGCTATAAAACGCAGCAAAAGAAAATCTGCACATATTTGAATTCAGCAAATTTCGCAGAAACCCAGAATTCCTATTGACTAACGGATGGTATGATACTAATTCCTTCAAACTGAAAAAAATATATTTTTTCTGCTCATCGTTGTCGTAATAGTCACGATGAGACCAGTTAGCAGAGTGACAATCAATGCAACGTTATCTATTTTAGGACTTAATGGAGCATGTTTTTCATTCCAAAATGCCTAATTCTGTATGCAGCGACCTGTGGTTTAGCAGAATTTCTGATTTTTGTCTTTCCCTTGTATCCGTGAGCTTCTCTTCAGGGCACGACAATGTCCATTCTCTTCTTATTCTTATAGAAGTCATCTAATTCACTCCAATTTAATGCTTCTTTATACATAGTAGGACCTCTTGAAGCACCTTAGCCCTTATTTTATAGTATAACTCATGCAAAATTAAGATTATAAGACCCGTTATAACTTTAATATGGGTCTGTTGAATCGTTCCATAACTGAAAGTTCTGTAGCACATACCCTACCTCGCCTCGGCCTTAATGTTATTTTCCTTGGAAGCGAGCCAACCGGACAAATATCTATTAAACACT